ACATTGCACAAGCTTGGATCTAGTGGATCTTTAGGTAGCTTGACAGGTACTACAAAAGTTTTCAACGCTACAGGACTCTACCTGTCCTGATGTTAAATGTGGATGATCTTTGATCGCTACAGTCATGTCGGAACAAGCTTTAAGGATGTTATGCAAACTCTCTGTTGTTATTGATACTTTACTTTATTTATACAGATAATTTTACTGCATTACTGCAAACATAGCCTGTCTACATCCCCCAAAGGTATGCTATTACACTCTATCCTCAAAAAAAACAGATACACATGCTATGTGTATAGCTTATATATATAGCTTAAACTGACAAAATACTGTAGCAAGTCATTCCATTTCCACGAGTGTGAAGCAGATTCTAGATGAAGTTCAAACAGTTGACTGTGAGACAATGACATACATTTTCACCAAAATTCTCCCACAAGCTCTCTAAAACAGGAGAGCACTACTCCCTTGTACTCAACCTGCAGAGTAACACATTACTCTCAAACAGCCAACTCAGAGTTCTCCTTCCAGTACCACATTAGCCCAATACACCAAGCTCCTCTGTTTTCCTTCAGGTTCCCTACGAGATTTCTATTTTACCCTTAAGAAGTAAACTGAAAATAAGAACAGAGAGCACCTCAGCCTTTGACCACTATAAACGCTGTACTGTAAGATCACTTCCAAGTTGTTTTTTTAATAGCATACCTACACTTTTACCAAACGGTTTACGCCACAAAATACAACCACCTTACTAAGCTTTTAATCCTAAACTCACTCTATTTAACTTCCAGTTCACAGTCTTTATGTACAAGTTAGTGTGGTGATCCCATTGCATTGACTGAATTTGCTTATTCCTGTAGGCATTTATTAGAACGCAATTATAAAGAAAGGGAGATGAACTGAAATAGCCTTTCACTGATTGTCAGCCTCCTACTTTCCACAATTCTTCAGCCAAGAAGGCAGCTCTATTTTTTTCACTGTACTTTGGAGAACATGCATGAAGACAGATGATAATACTACGGAGGACTAGCTACCAAGATTTATTTTCCAAAATTCATGTTCCTGTTCCACTCTGACAACTATAGCAAGAGCTTATAGAACACATGAATGGAAATCAGTTTCGGGATTTCAGAGTTAACCAGAAACAAACCTAAGGCTAGCAACGCAAAAAAGCAACTCTTACCCCTTCCTCACTTCACTGATGTACTATTTCTTAATCACACTTAGAAACTACTTTTTTTTTTAAAAAAAAAAACCAGTATCTTACAACATACTGAAAAAAATGTGTTCTCAACCTTGCACAGTTGACCTCAATTCCACCCACAAAACACAACTCCTGGTGAGGTAGCTGTTAGTTATGTAGGTTTCAAACTAAAGATAGCACCACCTAAAAGAAAATACCATATAATCAGAGATTATCTCATTTGAATGTTGACATAAAATTACAACTCTGATTAGAAAAACAACAAATATTTGTTCAATTTCCTGTAGAACTCCACTTCAGAGACACACAAGCATTTCACATTCGCTTCTAGCTTCAACTCATGAAGCAATCACACCTTCAAACACTCCTGTTAAAGGCAATCTTTATAAGTTTTGGAACAACTATTCCCTCCCAAAACATTTTAAGTGCAGCTAAAGATCTTCAAAGGAAAGGTAGGCTTGTACTAGAAACTCATCACCACCTGTCATGTTTTCTCCCCTAAATGGAAAGGCCATACATATTCAACAGCTACACTGAGGAATTTCATTAATTCAAAAAGACATAATTTATTATATTAAGCTGATAAAAAACTGACACTCACTCTTTCTACTGATGTTTGTCTTCTCAAGACACAGGCTGCGTGCAACAGTTGCACCGCTTAATTACACAGATGCGCTACCCTGGCACTGTACAGGCGTGCTCCTGTCGTGAGTTATTTGATAAATCACTCAAACGGTCAAGCTAACTCAGATGGTAGCTGTGTGCCCAACTGCAAGAACAATAGTCCGCACTCAAAGTGTAGGCATTGCTGGGAGCAGATATGCACAGAAAAGTGTGGGGTTTTTTGCAGTTCTTAGCTAAAACAGCACTAAGCTTTGTCCGTCTTCAAAGCTAATCTACGTGCAGCATCCACACTGCCATAACCAAGGTTATTTACTGTAACCAGACTTTACATCAAGCCCAACGTTTTTTCCACTGTAAACTCTGTTTTAACTACAGCATTAGCCACTTCAGAGTGAAAGGAAAATCATGGACAAATATGAACAGGATATTTTCAACCTAATGTAATGTGGTGTTGCAAAAAAAAAAAAAAAAAAAAAAAGTCCATTTGCTTTGAGACCTGTTAAGTCTGAAGTGATAATGCACATCCACTGTAAAACTTACAGACTTCTTAAAAGACAGATCAAGTACAAATGAAAACTAAGACTTTTTAAATGCCTTTCATAAATAGTTCTTTCGAACATAAGACAATCTAAAGAAACCCCTCTTTCCAGTGCCCGCCCTGCTCTCCCATCTTACCAGCGAACACCCGAGCAACCTTTGACTAGGTATGCTTTAGTGCTGTTCTAACTTCGTACCTATGAAGAGGTAAGAGTACAAAGCTTCCAAGTCTTTTAAAGAAAACTTAACCATGTAAATATTGATTTCACCACTACTTGGCTTAGAACAATTAACTTACAACCAGTTCACTTGAGCTTCTAAACCTCAAGGAACTAGTGGAGACATCTAAACCACGTTGTACGGGTTCTTGACTTCAAAAAGCAGTCTGCTTTAGTAACAAAATACGGCTTATTTACTTAAATCGAGCAACTGTTTCTGTTTGCAGGAAAGAATACATAGAGGTGAAACAGGAATATTTTTTTTTTCACATTATTAAATTTATTGTGTGTTTATCACATTCAAAAAGCATTGACCAGTGGGGTTTTTTAGTAACCGTTAGAATGCCAAGTTAAAGCCGGTATTTGGAAGCTTAATTTGCACCTAACAGAGATGACTGTAAACTCAAAGAGAATTTGATTTGCCACATATTTGACACTTTAGACTTCCAATACTGTGGGCACAACAGAATAATTTAAAAAGGTAAAAGAAACTGAATGCTTTGGAAAGACCAGACAGTATCATGAACATATGAAATTTAATCTCAAACTAAAAAGACTTTAAGGGTTTGATGATTAAATCCTTACCCCCATTTTCATGTCTGTTTAAAATCTAATTTCAGCCTAAGCTTAAATTTTTACATTTGTCATGATTGCCTACATGGGCAATTATGGAAAAAACAGGATGAAAACTGCTTTGGGATGAACACTGAGAGACTCTTCACAAGGCATTGCAAGGCTGAAGCAGGAGTGGGTTGGAGAAGAGACAGCAATTCACATGGTCAGATAAGGACCAAAACAAGAAGAAAAAAAAAAAGTAAAGTCACTTGCATGAGAATGCCCCAACACTGAGCAAAAGACATGCAAGAAAAGCTGAAGTAGCAGTGGAGAGTGGGTCCGACTAGGTTTTGATAGATGGAGAAAACTGAAAACATTTCCCCACTGTATAAGTGACATTATCCACAGTCTTTTATTCAAATATATGGAACAAAATCTAATTAAGGGAGAAATTTGATAAACTTTACAGAAAGCCCTTTACAGAGCCAGTTTTGAAACAAAAGGGACAGATAATTGCTTAGCCTCAAAATTGTTACTGAAGTATAACAATAGTACTTTACATCAAGCAGTTATCTTTAGGAATGGGTGAAAAAGGACAATTTACTTTTTAAAAGGGTGTCCTCTAAATACGGCATACATAAAGTACTCTAACATCCTGGATTTTTTTCAAAGCTTTTTGAGAAACACACACAAATAATTCAGATTTAGTCAATTTTATTTACAGTTTGTTTTTTTACATTTCAGAGCATTACACAATTACATATTCTCATTTTCTGACCTGCAAACAGATACCTTAAACGGAAATATTAAAAAAAAAAAAGAAGTTAGATACATCCAAAATGCAACAATTACACATCTGACAATTCACAAAGTGTAATTTACTAGGACGTATCCTAAGAATTTAGGAACAACCAGTCAGGAGAAAATCTGACCAATTTCAGCAATCAATTATTTACACATTCAAAACAAAGCCTCTCTTAATCTAAACCTCCAGGCAAATGGCCTGAAAGATTTCTTCAGGAAGAAAGACCAGAAGTTATGATTCACACCTATGCAGCATTAACAGCCCTTGATCCCAAATACTGAGCGACTTCTCAGCTTTGTCTTAGAGCTACAGGCATCCTTCTCAGTTTCTCAGACCCTGAAGTGTTATATTTGTGCCCCATGTGCATAGAAAGGCTGAGTGTTTAAGTGGTCACTACGATAAAACCCCATTTAATCTGGTCTTTAAGTTACATGAATTCTTCTTCCTTAAAAATTTCAGCAAGTCTTCTAATGCCATTTAAACTGGCCTAGGTGGATCGGGGCATGCCTCCTTAAGATCTTTTGAGCACGCTTTGAACCAATTTGCACTGGCCAGACTAAATACATTAGAGACTATTTAAAATAAATCTTTAAAGACCATTTAGACAAGGCTTACAGTTCTACACTTCCCTGATGGGCCACCTAATTAAAAAAAAAACAAAAACAAAACCAAAAAAAACCCAACCAAAGTCACAGCTACTACTTTCATCCCTTGTGTTAACCCTTTGCCACACAGCAACTAGTTATATACTGGGTAGAAACTACTAAAAAATTCCCTGCAAATAAGCTGCCTTTCAGCTGAGGCTATGGCTCCTATGCATTGGGTGTTTGAGGAGTTTTTCTTTAAAAAAAATTCTCACTTGAAAAATACTGAAGTTCTCACTTTAGGCTAATTCTGATTGCATGTTCGATTTGTTTCACTGTCAAGAAACCGCTACAAATGGAACAACTGTAGTATAAAAAGAGCAGTCAACCGAGTGCAACTTCTGACTTGGCAAGTCCTTCATGGTAGTTCTCTAACTAGGCTATGAATTTTGTGGAGCCTCCAAATTTCTTGCCTACCTTACTTTCCATGTTCACGTTTCAAACTGTGTCAGCAGGGCCCGAACTTCGGGAGTCAGCTGCTTAGCAGCCTTAGCTGCCTCTGTGACGGCCTTGCGGTAAAGACCCTTTCTCTTCTTGTTAAAGCGCAACTGGAAGCTTTCTAAAAAGGGGGATAGCTGTGCAAGAGCAAGAAAAGATGTTGTTGTGGAGCCAAACCATGAGATACGAGCCTCCTGTCGAACTAAAAGGCCATTATCTTTCCGGCTCACAGTTATGGTAAGAATACGGCCTGGCCACCAAGGGAAGCCATAAATCTTGGCCCAAACAATGTCCCCTACACATACGGTCCTGCCATCTGGTGTGACACATTTAGAGACGTTTTTGGAAAAGACTTCTGTTTTCAAGGAATTACTGAGCTTTTTCTCTTCCTTTGAAGAGGAGGAGGAGGAAGGTGCATGCATGCTGCCTGGAGGAAAATCAAAGCTTTCAGTAGAGCTACACTCAGAGTTGGTAGATTTCAAATCATCTGTGCTATCACTACTACAAACTGATGCACTGGAAGAGTCAGATTTCTTTTGATTAAGGGTCATGTAAACCGTTATATTGCTTTTGCTGCCTCTCTTGCCCAATGTCTGGTGTTCATCCTGATCAACAGTTACATGCACTTCACTCGTGTCCTGAACCTCACTGCTGGCCTCTTCAGGGCCTTCTGAGGGGCTCTGATTTTCTGAAGGGGCCTCACCTGCTGAGCGGGTGGAGGAGCAGCGAGACTGGGGCTTAGTTGCCATCTTGCCACTCCGTATTTTCTCAAGTCCTGTCTTGAGAGAAGAGTCATTTTCTTCATTCCGATACCTTTGCGGCTTTAAACGCAATCGGGGTGGGAGGGAACCTGAGCTGGTGTTCTGAAGACGCCGTGTGAAGTGGACCTTTGAATGTGCATTTTTGGAAGAGGAGGTTGCACTCTGCTTCTTTTGTGCCTTTTCTTTGGCCATTTTCAAGACTTCCCGAGCTTTTGCATGATCCATGTTTTTGCTCTGGAGAACCTTTTTTGTATTTAACTGCGCTTTTGAAGTATTTGCTTGTGCGGAAACTTTAACTACTCTGCTTCTGCTGTGGGCAATATTTGAAACCTTGACCACAGCATTCCTTTTCTGGCTTTCGTTTTGGCTTTTTCCATCCACTTTATGGTCAGTCTTAAGTTTTTTATTCACAGTAGTCACACTCTCATTTCTTCGTTTTTTATTATCCTCATATTTTGAAGAGTCACTTGCATTGCCACCTTTTTTTATTTCCTTTTTTTCTGCAACAACACTGTTTTTGCACTTGTCACATAAGACCTGCCGAGGTCGTAGTTTGATAGCATTCATGATAGAAGTGGGTTCCTCCCTGTACATTTTACGCTTGGGCCGCTTAATTTTCCGGGGTGGAGGCTGAGGTATTGACTGGTTATACGTGTCCCTGATAAACAAAGGAGGAGGATATGGCGCTCCCTCATGAAAGAGAGGAGGTGGTTTAGAAGTCCATAGGCTTTTAGCTATGCTAGGTTCTGATGGCTGCGTGAGAGAAGAGTCCTCAGGGACTGCAGCATTAGATTCACACTTCACCTGTGCCTCATCTTGGAATGGTTTACTTTGGAGCTGCATAGCTTCAGGTTTATCCTTGTATTCCCTTTTAGGAAATATGGTCACAGGGATTCCATGGGGTCCAAACCTTAAAAAGAAAAAAAAATTAAAAATTAAAGGTTTTGAGGGATCTTTTGCTGCACTTACTAAAAAAGCATTTGAAACCCTGTCCACATTATGTAGCCACCATTTCAAAGACATGAGTCACAGGAAAGTTAAAGCTTCATATCTAGGTTTACTGTAAGCTTTGAAAGAGCAGGACACCAAAACCCAGTCAGTAGAGAATATGAAATACACAAGTTCACTTATTATCAATTTCTCTTGCATCAACAAGATGCCCTGAAAATGTAACAAGAAATATCACCTACAGACAGCAGTAAAAGAATTAACTTTGTTCTTTTAGAAAATGCTTATAAACATACAAACAACACACTCATCCCATAGACTCCAAATCTACCCAAAATCAATTTCCATAGTAAGTCAACTTACGTGAAGAAGGCATCCTCATCATTTTTACAAAATTCTTCCATTTTTAGCATAGCACAAAAGGCCAAACGTGTTTCAGATCTGAGGCAAATACAGACTGTATAAACACTTGCATTGAACAGAGAGTGACATCATTCGTCGTCCACAAAAGATGAGCACTCAATTATCTGAGCATTACGGCCCAAAACTTTCTGGCTTATCAGCTGGAG